CACTGGCATAGGGCCTGTGCCATATCCGACCGAGGGCAGCCCAGTCTCTCCTTGAAAGCTCCCACCACCTCCGAAGGCAATGTCTGTTCCGTGGGAGGGTGGCTGGTCTCACGGTCAGAAAGCTCCTCCTTATTTCTCGGTTGAAATCTCTTCGCGGGTGAGAAGGAAAACTTTTTTCAAAGAAGAACCAGGAAAAAGTCCAGTTGCCTTTTGGCAAAACCAGGACCGGCATATATCGGAGAACCTGCAGGTGCCTTGTTAACCCCAGGAAAGGGGCCAAGAGGGGCTGTGGAGGTGGGGGAGAAGATTGGGTTCTCTGGGGAAACGATGGGAACTGGGGTGCCCCCCCCCCAAAAAAAAGGGCCCCAGATGGGCTGGACAAAGGCAGTTGGAACCTGGATGGGGCGGAGTCCACCCTTGCCAGACGGTCAAGATTGACCGGCAAGAGGAGAGCTGCCCTCTGGACTCCTTAAATCCAGGGGTGGGGGCTCCCGTGATGAAACCCTCCCTTAGACCGGGAAACCTGTCCACCCTCCCTTCCGTGGCAATTGGAAGTTCCCGCTCAAGGCCTCCCTGCTTATCTGGGGGAAGAGATGCCGTGCCCGGCCCACGTGGGGGTCCTTGATGGAGGCCCATCCGCAGCGGGGAGGGACAACGGCCGGAGGGCTTCCTGGTGGCCGGAGGGGGGGAAGGGCCCCCGAGCTGCTCACCCCGGGCTCTTTGGAAAACAGCAGGTAAACCACGAGGGAGGCGGCCAAGGCCAGCAGCAGAGCCCACGGCAGCACCACCAAGGGCTCCTCTGTGGGGTCGTCACCCCCCTGGGGCCAGGCAGACCCCTGCATGCCCCCCAGAGCCGGCTCCAGTTCACCCACTCTCTGCCGCTTCAGCTGGGCCCGGCTGGCAGGCAGCCATGCCAGGACGAGCAGGGAGAGCCGGCGCAGTGGCATGGTCTTCTCCCCAAGGGATGTGCCGGAGACTGGTCGCTAGGCAACCGGTTGCCGGGGATACCAGAGTCTGAAGCTTCCGTGGACCAACACGGCCATTGTCCCCCCTGAAGCAAGCAGGGGAAGGGCCCGAGGGGCTGGGGGGGGGTCGGCTTTGCAGGGAACACGGCAGCTGGAATTGGCCCAGTTCGCCAAAGGGTCTGTGGCCCAGGCCTTGTGACCAGCTGACCTCTCCACCCATGGTTCTGGCCACGCAGGGAAGCCTCCCGGTGGCCATTGGAAGCGCCTGTGGGATGCCCAGGCAGCCTGGCATCTTCGCTCTTGCTGGGATCCGCAGACCAAGAGTTTCCCCCTTAGTAAAAGGACGCAGGAGTGGGTTGGGGGGCTCTCGGTGTGGGATTGAAAAACCGGCAATCTTGGTGGGACGGAGATTTTGCCCCATCCTGGCCTGACCCCGCGGGCACGTTCCACTGGCAAAGAGGGTGGCCTTGTTCCTTCTCCCTGCCCTCGGGAACACCGCGATCCCAGTGGAGGGAGGGAGGGGGAGGCGGGGCACGGCGGACAACAATGCCCTTGTCACCCTGCCCTGCTGGCGGGCGTCCACGTGCCGGACTCCCCCAGCTGTTCGGCCCACCCTCTTGCTCGCCCTGCGGCCGCGTGCTCCGTCCGAGGGACAATGGCTGCGTTTCAGGCTGGGCCGCTGCCTTTGGGGGTCAAAACAAGGGGAGACGAAGGGCTCGTGTTTGGGAGCGCTTCGCGGGGGGGGAGGGCGCGGAAGGACATTGGGGGGGGGGGAGAGGCACCAAGGAGCTGCAATGGCTCCTCTGCGGCTCTTCCTTGAGCCGTCCCTGGTGACGGGG